CATCGTGTGTTGAGTGGTGTTTAATGTTTCAAAGAATGTAGACCTGTTCTCATATTTTTTCAGAGATCTTTCTACAGAAAAACTAAACGTTAATGCTCTACTTACCAAGAATGCACGTGCGTCCTTCCAAAATGGTGTGAAGTTTTTCAGTGCCAAATGGCCAGTCTCGTGACCCAAGAAAGACATCTGTATATACATTAAACCAATAAATCTTTCGACATATTACCTAGAGCTTTCAAGTGTTTGTACAGAAACCAGTAGCAAAAACACAGCAGTGTCCCCTCTTACATCTGCTTCTAATGATTTATATATGAAACCGAAACCTGTAAGAAACGTAAGAACACAAACCTTATTAGTTGGCCCTGAATATAAGTAATCAATTCTAGTGTCGTTTCTTGGTTGATTACACCAAGTTTCATTAAATACACGTATTCAAAGTTTTAAATCTCTGAGCTAAGAAACAACAAAAATAAGTAAACTGTTCCTAATTACACCAACTGTTATCAGTCTTCACTCATGTTAGTATTATATCAGTAAACTGTTTCTTTCTGATATTAAAAATAATAATTAACAGGAATTATGGGAATATTTCATTTATTATAGTTATTTTAAAGGCTCTCAACAAATAATAAAAAAAAAAAATTTTTTTTCGTGGGTACTTTTGAAATATGTTTCTACCGTAAGATGGCGCCACCGCTTAATCCATGTAAATATTTAATTCTTTTGAAAATATATTTCGTATTATTTAACTCTTTTTGTGAGAAAAGTAATGAGTTTTGTACACTAAAATAAGACCTGATTGAGATAGTTTTGTCAAGCCTTTAATACGCCACAGTTACAAAATGAAATAAAATGGCGTTCCTGAAAATCTTACAAGAAAAAGAAAACATGATGCTTGAGATATAATTTATTTAAAATGTTAACCGAGGTTCGAATTCCTGTGATGGACAGGTGCAGATAGCCTACATGTGTGTAGCATTGTGCTAAAACACACACAACGAAACCAGGAAATGAATGGCAAATAGTTGTATCGAGGAAACGAAAACCATTGTCGCAGTACTGCGTTAGCTTTGTTTGAAGAAGGGGAGAAAACCAAATAAAGACTTCAAACTAGTTTCATCACTTTCATGTAGCCTCTTCAGACGTCTACAGTGTTTTTGTGTTAACTATTGTGATACTTCTTGTTCTAAAAAGTGTTAGTTTTTCGTTAATGTAAATTTTCTACTACAGATAGACCTAAAAGTATGTTCACTGTAAATCGTTTTCAACTTACCATCACTGAAGTGGTGGGCAGAGCACAGATAGCCCATTGTGTAGCTTTGTGCATAAATTCAAACAAACTAAACCATCACTGAAGATGAATTATGTATTATTATAGAGAGAGTTTAAGTTATATATACATTTTTATTTAAACGAAACCAAAACTAAATGTGCTTCGTTTAATATCAATGATTCATTGAATCATCAATATACTGTATACATATATATATATAACATCAAACATTGAATCAATATGCACGATATGTTGACTTAATAGTTAGGGGTAAAAATTGGTTATAAAAATAAAAGTTTCGCTCAAATGTTGTCTTTACACACTTCTATAGGGGTGCGTACAGTAATCTGTAACTAAATAAATTAATATTGCACGAAGTAAATTGTCATCATTTTATTTTTTACTGAAAGAGGAGACGCCAGTTTTTAATTGTCTTAATTTTCGGAAGGATAAAACAACGCAGTGTTATTTCAAGCTGGAAATTGTTGGAGTCTGTTTTACAAACTCTGCATCGTGGAAGAGAAATCAACAAAAGGGCATTTTCACGTATTACGAGGCATACAACGCCTCCTGTCGACAAAACGTGTCTTAACGGTCCATATCTTGTGCGATAATAAGAAATCTGTTATATTATAGTAATGTTAAATCAAGAACTGTTAATGGAAATAACAAAATCGTAGAAATTGGAAACAGCATGGACTTTCGTTTAATATTGAGTGTAAACGAAACCAAAACCTATTGTGATTCGTTTAATGACATTTTCATTTGTTTATTAAAAATGCAACTTAAGTGAAACTCAACAGAAAATATATAAAAATTATACGAAGTTCTGAACTAATGAATAAAAAAAAACTTCGAAAATGTTGCCTTTAGCTGTAGAAATGGAAGTCATACGCTTCAGTTTACGATCGATGTACCATGTGTACTTTATATAACAAACTTCAAGAATCTAAGTATGACTCGTAGCGAGAGAACTGGGTTTCTTTGTGTGTTTGTTTTTCTACATAAATGATAAAAATCGCCAAGAAAACGTTGCCTAACTTTTTTTTTGTGCTAGCGGTTTATAAAGATAAACATTTGTGAAGGAAGGGCAACAAGAAGCTAGTAAAATAACAGTATATGTACACCTACAAAAAAAAAATGGGGGGGACACGTTCCCCCTTCTGCCCTATATGTTAAGCGCCTAGGGCTGATATAAAAGGAAATTAAATGTTAAACATTGGTTTAGGAGATGAGCTCCTTAAATCGTATTGCTGTTATCTCAGTAAGAGTGTTTGTTAACTTCAACACAGAGTAAAAGAAAATTCAGTTTGTGAAAATATCCATCGTGTACAAATATATGTGTTAATACGCATAATATACTAAGACTAGTGCTGAGCGTAACCTATGGTTAGTGTGGCATTCTTCCAATCAAGGATCCGAGGTTGCTACTGAACTTTCTGTTGAGAACACGTTATAAAAGTGACAGTCAGTCCTATTATTTGGATCAGAAAGCCGAAAAATCCTTTGTGGCGCTAATGCTGCTGAGATGGCTGCCTTCCTTCTGGTTAGTAGTTGAAATTTATAAAAGGCTGTGTCCAAATCCTAGGGTTCGCTAACCTGGCACGGTGAAAAAAAAATCCCATATATATAATCTAAAATTTTAAAAATTTGGGGTACGATAATCTTTTTTCTATATGAATGTAAAGTGCATCTTTAAGCCTAACAGTTGTTCTATTGGAAAAAAGTAATCGAAATTCTGGAGCTACAAATTTTAAGAAATCCTCCATATTTTATTCAAATAAATATTGCTCACAGACAGACAGATAGTTTTTTTTTTCCTGCTCTAGAAACGAGATTAGAAATCATACAACATTTTCTATTCGCAATCTGTCTTCCACTACTGGTTTCTACATTATTAGCATTGTAAGTGTGCATAAAAATCGGCGGAATACGCTCATTTAATACTGCTATTTACTTTCATGTAAGAAATAGATTCAACACTTTAAAGTAATCTAAAACCAATCACAATCTCTTTTCAAAACAGCTAACTGATGTGCAGCCAATCATGTTTCTACAAAAATTATTGTGAACGCCTTTTCTCAGCTGACGAAACATGAGCATAATTAATTATACTCGTCAAATTGTCGTTAGATATTAGAGTTAGGCTTATTATATTTTTAACGATACGTTCATTCGGTATAACCAATGCTCTGGCCGGTTGTAAACTCGGCTCTCTTTCCTCATGATTTTTTGTTGTTAATCGCAAAGCTACACAGTGAAGTATCTGGGCTGTGCCAAGAACGTGTATCGAAACCCATTTTTAGTTTAATAGAATCTCTTAGACTTATCGCATAGTGAATGGGGAGGGGGAGCAGAGCTCCTTATTAAAAATAGGAGAGGAATTACTTCCATGACTCCCGGCTCCCTTTACTTATAAAGTCGTTGGAAGTGGAGGACATAGTGTGGTTGAAATACTTTTCTTCTTATTGAAAAAACCCTCAAGAGAGTGACTAAAGAATGTAGTGTTAAAAATATACTAGGCCTAATACTCTCGTCTTATGATTAATTAAACAAGTAAGATTCTGTTTTTAAGCAGTTGATCTTGTGAAACAAACTGTACTATTCTCTCGCTGCTGACAGAACAAGAAAACATTTTTAGCTGACAAGAAGTTAATGAAATCAATATGCTAGTGTACAATTCCTCCTGACGTGTAAAATAATATTCCACGTTCCCGTGAGGCATGGTGTGAGAGTTATTGGACTATATCTGAAACTTTCAGGTGGGGTTGACGAATTTAGTTCACGTGCAAAGTGATAGTGTGTTCGCTGGTGGTGAGAGACTGTAGTAGTAGTAGTAGTAAAAGGAATTTAACGAGTTTGTAACTATGCTAGCCTGAGGCGAATCTTTGATATTATCTCCCTATTTAACAACATACTTTTAAACGAAACCATTGATATTTGAAACTTTATATCTGAAGCTGAACGTTTTATACCAGAGGTTTATTTGAATATCTATTTACATATCGCCTGATTACCGGAAAACGGTCTTGTTTCAGACACACACAAACCTCCGTCTTCACCAGATAACTAATAGTAATTTATGGATTTTAGCTAAAACTTGCTTGCAATAAGTATTTGAATGCCGATTTACTTTCAATAGTCCAAATTTCTGTATAGATTTTGAAGTTTTAGGTGCATGTGACATAAACTAAATACAGTGCTGATGTAACGTTACTTTTTTTAAATAGTCATTAACTAACTTAACTAAGCTTATTTCCCATCCTCGAATATGTTCAACCTTGGGGACGTTATTATGTCTGATCAATCCCACTATTTGTTGCTAAAAGTAGCTCAATAGTTAGTGGTGGATGGTTTTGACAAGCTACCTTCCCTCTAGTGTACGGCTAGCGTCAGATAGACCTCGAGTAGCTTAGTGTGAAATTAAACAAAGCTGAACTCATTTGTGCGGATGATAACTACAATAAACGTTTCTTTGATGCACCATGTTGTCTATAAACACATATACGAAGGTTTGGTATGCAGTTCTTTGGCGTCAGATTGGAGGAGTATAAATTATAAATCAAAGATTCTCATACTGTGTGACAGACTAGACGTACATAATGTAAATAGCCAAGAAAACCTAGGAATATACATTGAATACTTTGCTGTTAAAGACATTTGCGGCCGTAATCCCAACAATGTCCGAGCTGGGTCGGATAATATTTCCCCAAGGGTTTTGAAGAAGGCTACGGATTGGCTATGTGAACCACTTGCTACTATATATATTTTTTTCCAGTCCCTGAATAGTGGTCAGGTACCAGAGGATTGGAAGTTAGCTAATGTAACTCCTATTTTCAAGAGGTTATAAACATTGTCCCAGTAATTATGGGCCTGTTAGTCTCTTACATTAGTTGTGGGAAAAGTTTTGGAAAGTCTGATAAGAGATGTTTTACAAAGTCATTTAACAAAGTTTAGAATTACCTACACATAGTTGGCTGAGAAAGACCAGAATTCTTCGTGATTTTAAATCAAACTACTTACACACAGTTGGCTGAGAAAAATAAGTACCTTTATCGGTTTCCAAGCAACGGCGGTGCAAACTAGAATGACGTATAGAAGATGTAACAATTGATTATACGGTTTTAGGTTTCATTCCTCGTGGAGGTGAACCTTATACTCTCCAACTAAAGTGTAATTTGTTTTACTAGGTTTGGTTGATTTGAAAGGTTATTTGAGGTAAGAGCTATAGTTGAAAGGTTATGTCGTCTTAGGGTTTATAAATCTAAAAATCGGGTTTTAATACCCATCGTGTTCTAAACTACAAACCAACCAACTTATGTCCTGAAATTAAAATTCTTCTTGGTAGTGGTTTTACGCAAGGATAAACATTGCTATTTGTTCACTGCAGGGAATCAAATCCTGGATTTTAGCGTTGTAAGACCGTAACCTTACTGCTGACCTATCGGGAGATCTCAGTTTTAAACACGTGACATTATTAAGCCTGACAACGATACGTGCTTGTATAACAATGTTATGTTTTGTATTTTAGTCGTTATAAATAAGTTTTAAACTTATGATTTTGACATTTATTATATTTAAAAACATGAAACATTTAGAAGAAGAAAAACCACTTAAGTGTTTGTTTAATTTTTGAACTAGGAAAACAGTTGAAGACTTCAAACTTTCGATGACTTTGAACTACGTAAAAAGTCTTCTCGTGGCTCATCGGTAAACTGGAGAGTGTATAGCCTGAATAACAGGGTTCGATCTCTGCCGTGACCACAGAATGGATATTTAATTGTACAGCTTTATGCTTAACAGCAAACAAGCACAACTACAGATAACTGATTTTTAAGTGATTAGCGTTAAATATATATATATATAAAGTCAAACGCTCGGTGGCTCAGCGGTAAGCTTAAGGACTTATAACGGTAAAATTCGGGGTTTGATTCAAGCAGTGGGCACAGCACAAGTAGCCCATTGTAATGGATGGCGCTTAAACATTACAAACATGCTCCCCAGTGGCACAGCGGCATGTCTGCGGACTTACAAACTAGAAACCGGGATAGAACACGGATAGCCCATTGTGTAGCTTTGTGCTTAACTTCAAACAAATAGATAACAAACATTTCTTCATGTTGAGATAAAAAGAAAAGTAATTTTAGTTCTTAATTTCTAGATTGTGAATTTTGAGGCTGTTAGAGAAGATTTATCATTTATGAATTGGATAATATACGGAGTTAGGCCTAAGCTAAATCTCGCCAAACCTCGTGAGATATTGTGTATCAGTTGCATTATAATCTTTATAAGTAACGTAAGTCTGGTATATTCAATTAGTTAAGTTCGTTACTAAGTTAATTTTTAGTTTCGCTCTAAGCAGGTAAGTTACTCTTATTAGAAGTTAATATTAATA